TTATTATTATCCGACTAAACCGTACATATAAATACCTAGCAATTATATAAAAAATAGAAAATATTTTTAAATAGTTTTAGGCTCTGTTAGACATACAAATTCAAAAAGAATATATATGAATGATGCTCAATGGTAAATAAATGTATTTGAAAGGAATGCCAAAGGCTTTTCTGAAACAGTTGGCCCTACTGGAAATAATAAAGCAAGTTATGCAGAAAATATGCATCATCCTTCATCTATTTTTTAATCAAAGGTTCACTGATTGGAATTTTTTTGTTAGGGATACCGAAATGTTGAAATAACTGATTGATTTGTGCCTTTATACCTTTTATAACGTATTGATTATATGTATATTTCTTTTTGTAAAATTGTTGGCTTTTTGGAAGGTTTTAAGTAGTTTATTTCTAATTTTTGCACGAAGGGGTTGAATTAATGTTGAAACTTTTCAAAAATATACATACATTCCCACTCCGTACGCTTTTGTGCCGGAAAGAATCTTTCCTGTTAGATAAATATGTATATTAACGCAAAGTACACAATTTATGCTTAAGCTTGCACAAAAAGCTCTTTTGATCATTCATTTACATGTTTGTAATTACACCCTCTCAGAGGAAAAGTGAAACGGAATTTCACAGCTTTCGGTACTAAGACAGGTCGGAAAGCTTCAGGCCCGGAAGGTTTCGTAATTTCATTACGCGGTTTAAACCCGAAAAATCCCGTCCTTGATATTTCTTCATTTGTATTTTTTTCCTGTGTGTCATCATCTACCGGATAGCGGGTAGGTTTTAAATAAAGTAAAAATGTATTATGATTTTACTCGGAGGGGAAATAACTTTTTCGCGACTCCTATTTGCAAGAGGATTCTGAGGGTTGAGAGACTCATCGTAAACCGCCGGTATAATAGACCCCCAGCTACAGCCCTTCTGGGAGGCAGACCTGAGAATTGTGAGCCCCCATTTGCCTTTTTTCTACCCGTTTCCCTCTCAAGCGAGAATCCGATATCGTTTCACTTTTAAACGAGGAAAAATACACGCTTCAGAGTTTTGTTTGATCGGGAAATCAAAAATCAAGAGTGAAAGCTGACGGGCTTTTATGTAAAACAGATCAGATTTGTGACGATTTTTACTTCTCATCCTGTGGATCAGTGACACATGTTTATTCCCAAATCCCACACTTTTCAATGTAATTGTTAACTCAACCATGAAGAGGTCGAATTAATATTGAAACACCGCCTTTGTACAATCAAAAAGTTTTTTGAAAAGGAAATTTCGCTCCTATACTGAAAAAGAATCCACCATTAATGTAATATGTTGTTCGATTGATGGTTTGGTCCTCCTTTGCGCATTTTGTATGGCAGACGCGTTTCGCCATCTTCAGAGGTAGAATTGTTAGACTGCCACACCCTGCTTATACATTGACCCCTTATATCATTGACTACTACACCCCCTTTTTTCCGTTTAATATCACCTTTTCAGATAGAATGTTCAAAGACAACTTGAATAAACCTCGAAAACTACAGTTCACCCGCCTGTCTATCTCTATTTTCCTTCTTTTTTTTTTCAATGTGTATACACGAATTGAACTTAATTCGCTAAATGTTTCAAGTCCTTCTTTTGTATGTTTTTTTTTCCTAATCACACTATCTTTTCTCCACAAATCACTCTTCAGACTTTGATCGGAGACGACCGAACTACTGGATTTATCACCCTGTCTCCCTCTTTCCTTTTTCTCCATTTTTTTTTCTGTGTGTAGCCACAAATTGCACTAAATTCAAGGAATATTTCGAATCTTCACTCACGCTTTTTCTTGCCCTTTTCTTTTCATTTTTCCCACATTTTTTTCTCTCTCTCTCTCCCTTCTTTCTTTCTTGTCTTTCTCCTTTTATCTTTTCTTCAAAATCAAACTTCTTTTCAGACCTAAATTGACTGGACGACCAATTTACTGGATTCATCACCCTGCCTCATACTTTTCCTTTTTCCTTCTTTGTTTCTTACTGTGTGTAAACATAAATTGCATTAAATTCAAGGAATATTTCAACCCTTTCACTTACCTTTTTCTTGTCCTTCTCACTTCATTTTGCCCACAAATCGCTCTTCTTCATGCCGTAAGTGATCGGATTCGACCAATCTACTGGTTCATCACTCTGCCTCTCCTTCTCTTTTTCTTCCTTTCTTAGTGTAAGAAAATTGAACTAAATCTAATAAATAAGAATCTAATAAATAACTAAATCTAATAAATAAGAAAACTCCTTTTCAGACCTAACTTTATCGGATGACTAAACTATTAACTTTGTACAGTGTGTTTTGTACAACTATAAATTGCACTGAATTCAATACATATTGCTAATCCATCTCTCAACCTTTTTCTCATTCTTATTATTATATTATTTCTCAAAAAAAATCACTTCTTATCAGAGAGATAATTATCATATACCAACCATACATTGCCAACCAAACTATTGGTCATCACCCTGCCTCTCTGTTCTCTTTTTCTTCGTTTTTCTTGCAGTGTGTTAACAAAAAGTTAAACTTCATTTAATAAATAATGCTACATTTTCCTTCACGTTTTTCTCGTCTTTATGACTTTATTTTTTCTTCACAATTTTTTTTTTTTTTAACAAAATTGAAGTAAACTAATCAATTTCGATTGTTCTTCTCTCTCTGTCTCTCTCTCTCTCTCTCTCTCTCTCTCTCTCTCTCTCTCTCTCTCTCTCTCTCTCTCTCTCTCATGATGTATATCAAAAGATATATATATATCTTTTGGGTACCTTAATTTAAAAAATATTTAAATATAAAACTCCACAATATTTATATGAAAATTATAAAAAAATTTATTATTACATAATATTAATACGCGACATTCAAATCAGTTGTTAATTCCAAAACAAATACACTTAGCAACTCTTTTTTACTAAAAAGCATTAGGATCATGAACAATATACCATCAGAAATAAAAAAATGTAAAAAACGAAAAATTATTGAAAAATAAATTAAAACAAATACTAATTTAAAAATATGTATAATCTTCTCCTGTGCCTGTCAATCTACCTATAAGTTTTATAACCCTTCCCTCTCCCGGGCAAGAGGTTAAACTGCGTCCAATACCCCTCCTGTACCTGGTGGCCTTTCGTAACACTTTATCCCTTTACTAACCTCATTACCTAACATTCCATTCCTATAATAACCCCTTCCCCAACACTAACCTTCTCCCTGTTCCTTCTCCCGGAGTCCCAGGCTTTAAGGAGGGGGAGGTGTGCCGGTTCATCTATAGTGGCAGCCCCACTAATCGGCTAGGGCCAGGGTGGGGTTCCCTCTGGCCTAAAACAAACAAGCTCCAAAAAATACGAAAAAAAACGCCGTATATCCGGAAGGCGAAATGTTGGTGGAGAGAGCAGCGCCACCCAACGTATGGATACTGCTAGGAACGGAAAAGGTAACACCGAATTAGTGAGGACACTGCAGCCATTCGAGCCGGAGTCCAAAAAAAGGAAAAGAATTAGAAAAGAAAAGAGCGGAAGTGATAGTGAAGACCAGATGACAAAGAATTTCACAAGATACTGGATCATGGAAAAAAAAGAGGGGGATTTTAAAGATGACTCCCCCATCCAGATCTGCCGTGTAGTCAACCAACAAATGGGAAAAGTTAAAAATCTAAAGAAATTGTCATCAGGAATCCTGAGTATAGAGGTTACTGACTCTCTGCAGGCCAAAATGGTCATGGAGACTAAACACCTCGGCGCAACCCCTGTTAAAACCTCCCCCCACAGAAAGCTGAATTCCTCCCAGGGCGTAATCTCAGCACGAGATTTACTAATATGCTCTGAGGAGGAAATCAAAGAAGAACTGTCAAGCCAGGGGGTGATTGAAGTAAAAAGAATAAAACGAAGAACGGACAGGGGTCTCATAAATACAGCGTCTCTCATATTAACATTTGACAGACCAGAGATGCCGAGAGAAGTACGGGCTATATACCAAAGATTCTTGGTCCGTCCATTTGTACCGGCACCAATGAGATGCTTCAAATGCTTAAAGTTTGGCCACACAGCACTTCGATGTGGAAGCCAGAACACGATTTGCTCGTGTGGCGTGCCGGTGCATGAAGGACGGCCATGTGTAGATCCGCCGATGTGTGTAAATTGTGATGGGCCGCACCATGCAAGGTCCAGTGCGTGCCCAATACTAAAAGAGGAAAGAGAAATACAGAGGTTAAAGGCAGAAAAAGGCATGAGTCATGTCGAAGAAAGAGCTCTAGTCCGCAGCTCAGCGTTTTCACGGCCAAATATGAGCTATGCGAGGGCTGCCGGACAGTCGGCACCAAAAAAAGGTTCCACCGTGGAGATGGCCGTCCAAACGGAGCCATCCCCACCAATATACACCTTCCGGGGTTCCACTGGTGCCCTTCCCCGACCTATTATCATTGAAACTACCATTCGTAAGACGCTTTATACCCCCGCGATCAGATATAACCTTCGTAAAGCCGACTGGAAAACTTTCACAAGTGCCCTGAATATTTCAGATATGAGTGGGGACATGGAACGAGACGTCCACATCCTCACAGAAAATGTAAAACAGGCCGCCGAGCACTCAGTGCTCAAAACAGGAGGAACCCCCATTCGTCGAAAGGGGGTGCCGTGGTGGACTGAGGAGTGTAAGGCGGCAAACAAAGAAAAGAAAAGGGCGCTTAAAAAATTGAAAAGAAGTCTCACGTCGGCCAATTTAGAAGATTTTAAAATAAAAAGAGCAAAAGAGCGAAGGTTATTGACCCAACAGAAAAAGAGAAGCATGCAAGAATATGTATCGGGGCTAAATAACGAAACATCGCCGATACAGATATGGGGAAAAATAAAAGCGATCGCGGGGAAGACAAAAAAACAATAATACCAGCACTAAAAGTGACTGATCGAANATGCCGAGAGGATAGGTTTCTCCTTTTCGGCCGAAAAGACGAGGGCAGTTCACTTCTGTAGACTGAGGAGGGAACATAATCCCCCTCAGCTCCCGATGGGGAACGAAGCTCTCGGGTATGCCGATCGCTCAAGGTTTCTCGGTATGATCTTCGACGAGAAGCTAAGATGGCAACCACATATCGTGAACATCGAAGTCCAGTGCAAGCGGGTCATCAACCTCCTGAGATATCTCTCGAACTTTAAGTGGGGAGCAGAAAGAGAGGTATTGATGACCCTCTTTAAAACGTTGCTGTGCCAGAAATTATTTTACGGCTGTATGGCCTACGGTCAAAGAGTAAAAGTAAGTTATTAGCACGAATGGAGTGGGTTCAACCCCGCCCCGAGGAATATCGAGTACTCTGGGGGAGTGAATGTGACCAGATTTCTATGTTTGTGGCGATATAAATGTTATGTATTGTATGTTGTGTATCTATTCTTAAATTAACAACCTGAGGTACTAACAAGAGGCTAGCTTTTTAAAATAACGACGTAATATAAAGTAAAAGCAGAGAGTCAGTAACCAGATCGAGATGCTCAAATGGCTGCAGTTCAATACAAAATACGCGAGAAAGACAGGAAAGAGAAGGAATACATGCGGAGGGCCGGCGATGACCTCAGCTGTTTGTCGGCCCATAAACCTTCCACTTTATATATATATAACCCTTCCTTTTATAGCCCTTCCGTCTATATGTAGATTTCACATTACATTTGCAAAAGTCTTAGTTTGTAATGTAATATTTGGTTTTTCGTTTTGTTTTTAATTTAAATTTAATATTCTTTCTCTCTACCAACTACTCCTTGATATATATACATTCACTAATTCACTTGTTAAATGGTTATTATATAATTGAATATCTGTTATTTTTTATAAATGTCTTTTATATATCTACTTGAAGATTTTGTGTTTATTCACTTTTTTTTTAAATTGTAGTTATTGTAAGTTGAAATCTTGCATTGTTCATAACACAATTAAGTTAGGTCAGATAAATCGTATATTACACACTGAATGTTAAATTTGGTAAAACTTATTATAGCTAAATAATATGTTTGTACATAATCATGTCAGTATTACCTAAATCCGCGAGTATTATATATAAAGCGTTTCCATTCAATTTTTTCTCTCTCTCACTCTCTCTCTCTCTCTCTCTCTCTCTCTCTCTCTTATTTCTCAATTTCTCACCTCTCTCTCTTCTCTCTCTTCTCTTTCTTTCCTTCTTGTCTGTCTCAATTTATCTTTTCTTTAAAAAAACTTTTTTTCAAGCTTAAATTAATTGGACGACCAAACTACAGTTTCATCACCCCGCCCTTATTTCCATTTTTTTCTTTCTGTATACACTTCCAGATTGAAGTAATTAACTATATTTTAAATCCAAGTACATTAATTGAACAAAAAACTATCGTTCTTCCCGAAATTTATATTTTGAAATTATGGTAAAAAATTATAAGAGGATATTCTGTAAATCAAGGTTGTCACCTCAAAGCGTGACCAACCTGACAAGTAAATTAAAAATGGACGGTTTTGGATCGTTACTCCGAGGAATTCCCTTAGAGACTTGTAAATCAATTAAGTAAGCAATTACTCGTAGAATTACAGTTACTCTCTCATCTCTCCCGCTTTTACATTGTGTGTATAAATTTAAATTGTACTAAACTGAGTAAATATGGAAAGTCCTATTCCTCTTCGCTCTACACACTCACCTCAATCTACTCCTGCTTTGTGGGTAACTACACAACCTTAATTTGAGAAACCTAGCACTAAAAGGCTACCACTGACGAACGAGAAACATTAAACAAATATAACACACAATAACTGCTATAACGTAAACCACCATCAACGAAATAATAAACGTAACGACCCCCTGCGTTGCATTGTGTAACCCACCAATCTAGAGGGAACCTAAAGCGGCCCATAGACGGTCAATATTATTGTACAATATAGATTGCACAATAATTTGACGGTTGCCCCTTAACGTTCAATAATATTGTACAAAATTTTGTTTGAAGGCGATATTGCAGTTTGTGCAATATTTTGTGCAACCACGAGCATGCGAACTGTACCACTTGTTGATACTTCACAAACTGACTGATATTGCGCAATAATGCCAACAGACGGTGCAATATTTTCCAAGTTGTACAATATATTTTCAACTTTTCGTCAATCATGCAATGTATTGCACAAACTTTCAATATCGTCTACACACGATCAATTAAATTGCACAACCCAAAATATTGTGCAATAATATTGATCGTCTATGGGCCGCTTAAATCGCAGAAAAGCCATCCTAATCGGTCGTACAAGTATACATTCGTAATCGGACTCTTAATTCTGTGTCAAATCCGAGTATTTGTCCGGCATGAAGAGAAAGGTTGCTCATCGAGTCCTACTTATTTTAAGGGTGTTATTCTGTAGCTAGATGTCGAGAGAGTAGGAATAACACTCAACATGCAACTTGTCATTGAGAACAGAATTGTGGTCCCCTATTCTTATTTGTAGAGGAAATAGGGCTTATTTATTGTATAACTTCATAGATTGTTTTGTATTTTTATTTAGTGTTTTGAAATGTACTGCATTTATTAGCGTGAATGTCTAATGTGAGAGGGCAGATAGAAGACTTTTTATTACTTTTTTAGTACTGACAGGAACGAAATCCTAACGATATCTCTACCTAACTTACCCTTACTCGCCCCTAACTTCAGTCCTAACACTAACTCTCCCTAACATAAACTAACCCTCCTTTAAACCAATCCTAACTATAACACTACCTATCCCTACCAAACTTAACCTAATCTGACTCGTTCCAAACTCAAATCCTAACTTTAACCCTACGTAACATAATTTATACCGTCCCTAATCCTAATCCTAGCCATAGATCTCATTCCTAGCACTAATTATATCTATCCTAACCTGTTCTTAATTCCTACCATACCTAACTTAATCTAACCTAACTCAAATCTTAACTCTAACATACCTAACCTAATCCTTAACCGAAATCCTAACTTTAATTCTAGGTATCATAATCTATCCCGTTCCTAATCCTAAACCTACCCATAGATCTAATCTCATTCCTAGCACTAACGATACCTATCCTAACCCGTTCTTAAGTCCTAGCCATACCGAACTTAATCTAACCTAACTCAAATCTCAACTCTAACAATACCTAACCTAATCCTTAACTGAAATCCTAACACTAACTCTACCCACTTCATCCAATCTTTTCTTAAAACAAACAAATCCTAACTCTAGCACTATCAAACCTTACCAAACTTAACTTAACCTAACTCGTCCCAGCCGTAACTCTATTCACCTAAGCCGTTCATAACCCAATTAATACTACCATGCCCGTATTCTACATGACCTAACATAATCCGTCCCTATGCTCATCCTAACACTAACGCGAAATCCATTACGCGAAAACGGTCTCGCAATTCATGTATACAGCCAAAAGTATATCCGGTTTAACTATCCAATATTGAGGATGGTTGAAATCCCGAACATGTCTGAGAGCTCAAAACAGGGAAGATAGGCAGACTAAGTTCGAATTAAAAGTATTGAATTTGAACTGTGACCAAATGATACAGATTTATTGGAAATATCCTCTTTCATGGTCCTCTCACCTGTGTCAAAAAGCCGTTTAGTGAAGCTGATCTCACAGGAAATTGTTTCAATTTGACTTTCAACAGTTTGCCATGAGTGTCATACGAAGGGTCCTAAAGAAATCTTTGGTAAAGTCAGAGCCTACCTCATGCTGGTTTTTTCATCGGTTTGGTTGATTGTGGAGGTTTTTAAGTTGCAGGGATTGTTGATAAGATTGGATAATATCATTAAATAAAATTAAGTGTGTTTGTGTTCACCATCTGTCAATGTAACAATTTTTACCATTTCTTATTACATATATATTTTATTATCGCCAACAGTCGGTAAAGTTTACTTATAGAGTAACTGAGTTAGCAGCACGGCTAAAGATAAATGCATTTAACCCCACTAGATCTTGACTCGTCACGGCATTCTAGGAGAAGTATTCCCATGGAGAAATAGCGCCCTCTCCTCCGCCCTAAGTATGTCCCAAGGGAAATAGAAGTCGTTTGTCAGAGCGGGGATAATACAAAGAAATGGTCACAGGGAGAATATCTCTCCTACCCTCGCTTCGTTCAAAGGAGAAACACCGACTACAAAGAGCGAGAAATGCCCGCTCCATCCACTCCAATACACTTCTAATCTGTCTAACCCATCGGTCGAAACTCAAATATTTCTCCTAATAATGGAGTTGTTCCAAATCAAAAAAATAAGAAGAAAATAAAACCCGTTATTATTGACATTAATGCCTTTAAAAAATCTTCGGTACAAGAAACCGTGAATAAATAAATAATTAAAAAAATAGAACATGATCATAAATATTGTCAATAAATTGAAGCACCTCAGTATCGAAATAGTTACATCAATTACAAGTTCACGGACGATAATGCACGGCTACTTGCAGCTATTGCTCATTGCACGGATTCAGTTGGAGATTATCTTAATTAGCGATCCGGCACGTTTGTCTGGGATAAACGACTTGGAAGATATATATGGAGCGTGTCGGTCGATGTTGTCTCTGGGGGGAGAAGCGTTTTGAATTGTTGTTCAACATAAAAAACAAGCACAATTTTATGACGGTACTGTCGACAATTATCATTCTTGCCAATGGGCCCTAGGAGCCAATAAAATAAAAACATGTCATTTACATAATTTTTTTTAAATATCGTTTTTTCATTCCTTGTTCATGAAATTCTAACTTATTATATATCAGACATAGTAGGTTAAACTAAATTTATAGTTTGCATTATTAAGAAACAAAGCCCACATTAGTTTTTTTGCACTGAAAAACTAAATGTCTCAAATTTTCGCCTCCTATTTTTTTAATTGAAAAGTAAGTAACAGAGAGAGAGAGAAAGAGAGAGAGAGAGAGAGAGAGAGAGAGAGAATGAGGGAGAGAGAGAAAGAAAGAGAGAGAGAAAATGAAGAAGACAGAAAAACAGATATAGAAATAGAGAGTGGAGGAGGAGAGAAAGAAAGGCAAACAGAAACAGAAAGACAAGAGAAATAGAGAGAGATAATGAGAGAGAGAGAGAAAATAATGAAGACAGAAAAACAGATAAAAAATAGGAATGGAGGGAAAGAGAAAGAGAAGACAGACAGGCAGAGAGTGAGAGTGAACGCAAAGAGGATGTGTGAGTAAAAAAGGGAGAGAAAGAAAGAGGGAGACAGAGAGAGACTGGGGAGAGAGTGTGTGAGTGGAAGAGAAAGAAAGAGAGAAAAATTAGACAAAAATATTGGCATCAATGATGGAAGTAGATAAAATATTTTTTTACCAAGATACAAAGTTGATAGTCGTTTTTAACATCCCGAAACAAAACCTACAAATTTTTGGAAAAACTTCAACTTTTTCCCCCCCAAAAAAGGCCATTACTGCCAATATTTTATACTAATCTAGGAAACAGTGCAGTATTTTAGAACCTTATAAAATACGCGTAATGGCTCGATTTTTGCTATTGTAAATAAATAAGAACTAGAGTTTTTGTTGAATCTTTCCTTAAAATTACGATAACTTTGAAAAGGTGTAATCAATCCAGTTGAAACTTTACACTGATTTAGAACCTTATTAGCATCACGCGGTGGCTTAAATATGGCCGTAAACAATCTGTACCGGAGATATAAAATAAAAAAATTGGAGTGATTTTGATGGTTATAACCTTTTCTTACTTGTAATAACCCCAAAAAATCCAAAACCTGAAAAAAGAGAAATCCAGATTTCTCACAGTTGTAATTATATTTCGTGGTCCGATTGACCAAATAACTTCTTTCAATTAATTAATCTTTATGTAAGGTATTGGTTGAAAAGAAAAAGTTAGTGCCACGAGCGGGATTCGAACCCACGGCTCAATACGCCGCTGCTCTAACCACTTAAGATATCTTGAAGTCACGTATTAAGCCAAAGGTCGTGGTTCGAATGCCGCTCGTGACACTAACTTTTTCATAAAGGTTGTAATAACGTTGATTTTGTGTCCAATTTGGGAAAGTTATGAATTTTTTTAATAATTTAATAGCACCGTTCATTGACGAATATTTGGCCCTGTGACCAAAAATGTATATTTTTTATTGATATGAAAATTTGTGTTTAATGGCTTTAAAGGGTGTTTAAAACAAATTTTTATTAGTTTTTTGGAGAAAAAAAAGAGGCGACTACTCATTGGGTGTTTTGGTTTTTGTCACTTTGTTTAATATTTTTGTGTTCTTTACTTCCAGTTTTGTCTTCCCGTCGTATTTATTTGACGAACTGCCTAAATCTATCTTTACCTTCTATCTAAATGCATTATAATTAACTTTTTTTGTATTATGTAATTATTTTATGTAATTCAAAAGGTGTATGCGCTTGGGTACACATTTTGATGAGAAGCTTCAAGTTTAATTGTTTGTATTTATCATACTCAAACACCACAGGGATTAATTGAATTTCAGTAATTCAGTATATTTTCACTTGAAGACAGAAAACACAAACGAAGAGAAACAATTAATTAAATAAAGGTTTTAAGCGACGTGTAACCCATGGGAAGTTGGCTTATGTTTCCATTCTGTGTTTGTTTGAATTATTTCGTCTCTTTTTGTTAATGGAAGGTGTTCGATTTATAATTTTTTGCATTTGGGTTGTTTTAAGAAACTCTGATTTCTGATTCTCCAGAAAGAAATATGTCGTAGAGATACACTCATGAAGTTTCTCGAACGGGGTGAAACAGCTTCACGGGGTGAAAATGCAAGTTGGAAATTTGTTTTATCGCATTCGTCGAAGCCCAGGGTTCGAGGTATAATCTTGCAAAGCCGTGCGCCTCGGGTTAAATATCAAATGGGCCAACTTGCGAAAACAATCCAGGCACACGATGATATTCTGGAAACTTGACAACGTTGTTTCGCGGATTAGTTCCCTCCAATCCCCCGCCCTTGGTGGTAAACTCTCTTTAACTTCAGTTTAGTTTCCTTTAAATGGCCAATCAGGCCAAATTTACCAGAGGTGTGTTGACGTTTCGACACGAAAAATTGAAATCGCTATATCAATTTTTTAGGGGATTCATTCAAAAGCTTTCTTCAATCCTTGACTTATGGTACACTTTTGATTCCTTCCAGCTTCTGTTAAAGCTTATGCTCAATTTCAATTAATTATTATTTTTATATAAGGTCTTGATTGAGATGAAAAAGTTAGTGTCACGAGTGGGATTCGAACCCACGACCGTAGGCTCAATACCCCGCTGCTCTAACCATTGAGCTATCTTGACTTTGATCCACTCGGACACCAACTCCCCACCTCAACCTACCTTCGACTTTTTACCTCCTTTTTGCCATTTTCCAAATGTGGGTTCGAATTTCGCTTGTGACACTAGCTTTTTTCATCTCAACAATAATAAAAAAATATTAATTAATTGAAAGAAGTTATTTCGTCAAACAGACCACGAAACATAATGGACTTAAAGTATAATACATTTTTTACATACTGATGTCTATCTGGCGTCCAATTTATTTTTAATGACAAGCAGACTAGACTAGGTATGTTAAATCGGCGCTCAAATAAGGACACTTCTTCTTTTACCACATAAATAACGTAGATATTAACATTTTGACGTATCTTATTTTTCTCTTTTTGTACGTAATACTTCTATTATTTTTCTAAATGTATATACATATTCCATAGCCACAGTAGTTTTTCATTGTCATTTTCTTTTTCTATTACTTTAACATTTTCAAAATCCATTGTGCATTTAGTCCGAGTGGATCGAGATCACGATAGGTCAAGTTGCTAGAGCAGCGGCGTACTGAGCCAAAGGTCGTGGGTTCGAATCCCGCTCGTGACACTGACTTTTTTTATCTCAACTAAAAACCTTAATTAATTGAAATATATTAATTGGTCGAGCTGACTACGAAAACTAGGGATTTTGTACATTATGTGCAATTAAAAATGACATCTAAGAACGTTATGACATAGGTTAGAAAAGACCGCACTCATTGCGTCAGGGTTATAAGCTGGGAGAGGCAAGTCTTTTTACCGAACTGGCTAGGCAGCTAGTCTAACGCGATCGACAATCTTACCGTCATATGTATTATCATACATGGTTACATTCAAATATCTTTGTAAATTTAAATATGTAATCTATAAAACAAGATATTCCACAAGGGGAAAAAGACCCAAGTCAAATGATTATCAGGTTTATAAGCACGGAGAGTCAAGCTATGCACAATTTCAATTAATTATTTTTTTATATAACGTCTTGGTTGAGATTAAAAAGGTAGTGTTACGAGCGGGTTTCGAACCCACGACCTTCGGCTCGAATCTCGCTCCTGACACTAGCTTTTTCACATCAACCAAGAACGTACATAAAAAGAATAATTAATTGAAGTAAGTAATTTGGTCAATTAGACCTCTAAACATAAACGGCTTATGCTCAATTTCAAACCAAATAAATTATTTTCAATTTTCCTAAGAAGACAGGTAAAAAATTGAATGTTCACAAAACCTCCGTACCTTATTGATTCTGACTCTAACTGCCTAAAATCAACAGAGGCTCAATATAAACAAAAGCTGTCACAAAATAGACGGCCAAAATGGTTTTCTGGCTGAACCAAACCGTCGTATCTATCTATAGCCCATTATGCCGATTTAAGAGCCGCAGGATAAAATTTGTCCCCGGGGGAAAAATTTATCGACAAGATAAAAATGTCGAACAGGCTAAACTGCTCGATCGGTCACCGATAAAACAGTATAAAAAAGTTGACTGCCGGTAGCCACGATAAAACTACACAAAAGTACTACACAATTATTAATAAATGAAAACGTTTAAAGTTTAACTAGATGTCTTAGATTTAAAACTTTATAAAGTGTAAAGAAAAAAAGCATTCAACGGTGAGACGTCCACAAGGAATTGAGGTGTTTATCATACACTTGCCTGTCTGTTAGGGACCGTAAATCACTAATGATCACGGGCGTCTCAAGAAAAGGAGAGGATGCCAGTTCCAGGCCAAAGTCGATAGGAAGAGCCCTTCCAGGGAATAGTATTGTTCTCGGTGCGACAGCCGTAACCAAGTGGACTCTATACTTCATTGTTCCCGGAATTACCTGGGTACACCCCTCCTTCAGCCCCTGTTTACCGGTCGTCAGCCCCTAAAAATCACTTGCTCAGTAGGCAGGAGGGCACTGGTTCGTCTCAGACGGTGAGCGATTTTTCTTCTATTTTAGCATCTTAAGTTTGGTTTTTATTCGGAAAAAATAAAAAATCTGCCGGATTGAGTGAAAATTAGGAATATAAACCTACAATTTCACCAGTTTGCACCCCTTGTAAATTTTTTTTTTTAAACTTAAGATTTTGGATGTCACAAAGAACCAATTTTCATTCTCTCCGAAGCTCGTTTGTTTCTGTTTTATTAAAAAGAGTAATTTTCCCCTTAAGAAAATATTTCTCGTTTAGATATTTTTTTAGAATCACAAGAGAACTCTCTTACAATTGGGACTTCTTTTATTGTTAAAACAAAGCAATTTATGAATTGAAAATAAAAGCTTCAACGAATCGTGCTACTTATCAAAAAATTGATTTGTTAAAACAAAATGTATACAAAAAAGTACGATAAGTCCGAAATTATGTCTGCTTCATTGGGATTGTAAAACCTTATCAATAATTTTAGTAACAGCCATACTAATCAAAATTTAATGTGATTTGAGCGCTTAGAGGTTGAAGATTCCTCCAGAAATTTATGCTAGGCAGGTCACAAGACAAAAATTCTCCGAAATTTAATTAATTCCCTGAACAAGTAATTTTAGTTATATTTACCCAGAACTTGAAAATTCGACGAAAGAGCACCACCAAAAATTTCAGTATGTCTTAATACAAGTTAACAATTCGACGAAAACGTTTGTTATAATGTAAAATCAGGATTTTCTGTTGTCGGCCCAGAATGTGACTATTCTACGAAAAAAATTGAAATAATTAGTCGTTGGACCAGTAATTTTAATGAGGTCTACATAAAAGTTAAGAATTCTGCAAATACTTTCGTTATATTCAATCGCATAAACAGAAATTGCACTTTTGCCGGCTCAGAAGTTGATTATTATACAAAAAGCTTCAGTAAAATTTAGTCGTTCACCCAGGAATTTTAGTTAAATGTACTCAAAACTTGTCAGTTCTACAAAAATATTTGCTACATTCAGTCACAGAACCAGCATTTCAGTTATGTCTTATTACAAATTGATAACAGGTCGAAAAAATTTGTAAAATTCAATCGCTGAAATTTTAGTTATATTTGCTCAGAAATTGGCAATTCTATGAAAAAAATTGACATACATAATTAGTCGTTGAATCAGGAATTTTTGTTATTTTCAGCCTATAATCAAGAAATTCGGCTTTCTGTTTTCCTGGTTTGAAAATTTACAATTATACAAAACTCATATTAAATTCAGAATTTGACAATTTTATCATGATTTTTTCAATACATTCAGTTATTGAAAAAACAACAACTATATAATATAACATTAAAATAAATATAATATAAAACGTTATTATCATTCAAACATTGGCAATTTCCAGAAAAGCTTTTTTTTACAATCATTCTTTGAATGAGAAATTTCAGTTTTAATTTTTATAGCCAATAGGTTAAACTTTAATTTTTACATTCATTATATGAAAGTTATATCTATTCTATATTATGAAATTCTTTATAATTAGTCGAATATTGGAGATACCTGGAAAAGTTTATCAACTTGGAAAAAATCAAGCTTTGAAACAAATATCAGTTTTGCCTCCTCACGAAGTTTACGACTTTAATCAAATTTCAAATAATTATTCTTTTTATGTATGGTTTTGGTTGAGATGAAAATGCTATTGTCACGAGCGGGATTCGAACCCACAACCTTCGGGCTCCAATCCCGCTCCTGACACTAGATTTTTCACCTCGACCAAGACCTTGCATAAAAAGAATAATTAATTGAAATAATTAATTTGGTCAATTAGACAACAAAACATAAATAGTGTAAGTAAAATGTTGTAACATTCATTCGTTAGACTAGAAATCACGAATTGGACAATTCTGAGAAAACGTTTGATAAATCCAGTCGATGAACCAGAAATCAAAGGTTCGGAAAAACCTCGACACGTTCAGTCAATAAACCCAAACTTCCGTTTTGTCAGCTCTGAAGTTGACGAATTTATTATGTCTTTATTACATTTAGCCGTTGAAGAAGTAATGGCAGTTTTGCCTCCTCAAGTGTCGACAAATTTATGACGACTTTCGTTACATTCAGTCGTTAAAAGATTTAAGGGTGGCTCCTAAGTTCACAATTGTTCGAAAATCTTTAATTACGTCGTTAAACTCTATTTTATATATATTTATAAATTCTTTTGTCAGTATAGAAATTAATAGCTATATTCAGCCGAATATCGAAACAAAAAGTTCATCACCTTGAGGTAGTCAATCGTTAAAGCTGAACTATCAGTTTTGCCTCTTCAATAGTTGACGATTTCGTGTAAAATTTCGTAACATCCAGTCGTTGGAAAAGATTTTTTGTTTTGCTGGCCCGAAAGTTGACGATCTTACAAAAACATTCGTCATGTTCGATCGTTGAACATAATATTCCAGGTTGGCAAGCTCATATATTTGACGATTCTACAAAAGAAATTTAGAAATAGTCAACATTACAATTAAGTTGGTAAACCCCGCTTTTTACCAAGTTTCCAACCTTGTTTTTAGGTTTTGAGAGGATGTTTCTAAGTCAACACGAACCTCTAAAAGCTATTTAAAAAAACCCTTCTTGTTTAAGAATTTTACCTACTTTTCTGATAGTTCATCAATGTATGGCAAATAACGAAAAACTAATGATTCATTTTTGGTGGGATTGCTGAGTCGAAATGGTGCTTCTTTTAAAGTTAATTTTTTTATTCTTTCAATTAGCAACATATCAATCAATATTTCTTGAAATACACAGGTTGCTATTGATAGGTATTCACTTTTACAATTCATGTCGAGAGACGTGGTTGTAAATTCCTTCAAACTGATGATGAGCTAGCTTGAAATCAGGATAAATTTTTATCTATTAATCTAATTGTCTATCTTTTTATAAAGATTAGCTTGGCGATTCTCCGAATTTCTAACTTGGTGAAATCAATGTTTTTACCAGAAATGTCTATTTTGTGAGTTAGAAGTTGACGTTTTTATGATACATTTTATTACCTTAACTCGTAAAATCATAAATTTCAGTTTTTTGTTCTGCTCGGAAGTTGACAATCTTACAAAAATCATTGCATTCAGTAGTGAGACGAGAAATTGCAATTTTTCCGGCTTAGAAGTTGACGATTTTATGATGACTTTTAATTATTCAGTTGAACCCGTACTCGCAGTTTAATAACGTTAATAATTCAAGGAAAACTTTAGTTATGTCACCAAACTAGGAATTTTAAGTTACCTACACCTGTTCAAACGTGGTGATATTTGATATATTTTATTAACTTAAATCGTAAAATCATAAATTTCAGTTTTTTGTCCTGCTTGGAAGTTTACAATCGTACAAAAAACATTTTGTGTTTAGAATTTAGAGTTTTTGAGAAATTTAGAATTTAGAAATACCTGTTCAAAAGTGGACGATTTTGTTACATCTTGTTACATTCTGTCGTTAAACAAATTTCGGATTGTCATTTTGCTTGAAAGTTGACAAATTTTATTAGATACAGATCAAAAGTTGATGACTTGTGGCAGATTTTGTTATATGTAATCAGTAAAAGAAAATCTTCAGATACGCAGACTCAGAAATTCTCAATTCTTTAAAAAAAAAACTTCATTGTATACATTCGTTGAAAAAGAGTTAGTTTTTTTTTTTTTTTGCTCAGAAATAGAAAATTCTACAAAAACATTCGTTATATTTTTTTAATTTGAAGGAGGGTTTGCAACAGCAGAGGTTATTAAAAAAGCTCATTATAGATAATTAAATGAAATAGATATTAAAACTTTTTGCACGATGGTGTTTCAACCACGACGTCATTTTAACCCTCGGGGTGCCGGTGTTTTTGAAAACAAACATATTGGTTGATTCGAACCCTGGACCTTTACCTTACAGTGATGAGCGCCGTGTCAACACCTAAAGTGTTGCGGCCACCGACCCCCCCCCATCATCCACCCGTTAAAACAGAAATTTCAGTTTTTCGACTACAGTTAAAAAAAGAAATATTCTAAGAAAGTGTCGTTATAGACAGTCGTCGAATGAACTAAAATTGCAGTTTTACTAGCTCTGAAGTAGAAGTTAACTCATACCTAGAGACAGGATTTTCACGCAGTTGCATATTTTGCCACCACATACGACCGAAGTAATCAATTATCTATCTGAATCATGTATCTAGCTCTAGGTCAATCTAGCTAGGTTAAATTTTATAGAGCATATTTTTCCAAATTTGATGAATATCGCATAAAATTGCATATTTGAGGGGTTTTTTTACGTAAAATCGCATTTATCGCTCAAAATATTTAACATACTATATTGGTTTTCGGGGGAAGCGTAAAATTGTTCTGTCAAAAAAATAACAAGTTGACGAAAAGTTGGTTTAATTCGAAGAAAACTGAAACAGGCCGCAACGACTGGAGGAAAGATTCTAGAAATACCGACCAAATAAAATAAAACCCCTTCTTATGTCTTATTTCAATTTTCAAAATTCTCAAAAATTTTAAGTGACAGTAGGCACTATTTCATGGAAGAAAATTTAGAGAAGTACTTGTTTATTAACATTAATTATACACAATTAGAATAAATTATATAATTTAATTATGTAAGTGAGAAAATATTTATGTTAAATGTAAATATACTGTAGGGAGCGTCGGTGGCCGCAAGGGTTTAGGGGTTGACACGGCCGCTCATCACTGTAAAGGTCCCGGGTTCGATTCCACCGGCCCTGCATTCAAACCCGACATAGTTACAAATAGGCTTTTTTTTCAAAAACACCGGCACCCCGAGGGTTAAAATAACCTCGTAGTTGAAATACCTTCGTAAAAAAAGTTTTAATATCTATATACAATTAATTATCTATATTTTTGTTTAAAGTTACTATGATATGTGTGGTGTTTAGTGACCGTTAGTTCATGATTATTTGGAGATCGTGAGATACGGTCTGGTGTGACGTAGGTTTAGAAAAACATTTTCTTTCTCGTGCCAACGTTTCGATCTTTATTGAGATCATCTT